ATTTTAATTACAACAATCTTGTATATATAGTCATTAGTGAATACTAATATAAATATTTTTCTACCTTTTTATTCATAATGTATAAACCAATCATCCAGTTACTTCTCGGCAGTTGCCTGTTTCCGTTTCATAATACAATCTTTGTTCTTAGTTATGAATGCATTTTGTTCATTCCTGTCTTGAATAATCCCTCATTAAGCTAGTCACTTTCTGCTCCATGCTAAAAAGGAAAAATTATCATGCAAATGTGGCATGCCATATTAAAAAGCACATTACCAACACTTTTGTTGCTGTCCTTCAATTAGTTTCCCTTCTTTGAATTTAATTTCATTTGTTGTTAAACTACTGACTTGATGTATGGACTCATGAATTTGAGGCTGCTGCCAAGAATGTAGCAGGGAAAAAAAATCAAAGCCTCTTCAGAAAGCTACAGAGGCAAAGCTGAAATGAATTTGCTTCACCTTTGACAAGAACACTTGAGCAGCACTGGAATTCTCTGATGATTCAGCTTGGCTAATTATCCAATTATTTATTTCAAGAATAAAGACGCTGTTTTACCATTAGAAAAGTGTAAAGTAATCTGAGAAATATGGTAATGACAGATGACTTAAGTAACTTCTGAGATAAATAGTATCTGCTGAAACTTGTCTTGCCAAGTGTTCAAGCTGTAGTTAAACTGCTCTTTGAGTTTCAGGAAATTAGTAGGGACTCAAAAGTTATTTGTTTCTTCTCCCCTACCAACCACATATTATACTTCAGAAAATAGCTCAAAACAGCTCAGCTTGTTCTTTTCCCTCTCTGTCAAATTTGCAAGGTTTTTCAAGCTATGTTTAAGTTGCATTCCTCTTGATTAAAAGCTTTTGGTTCAAAGCAATACTTTTTAATTGCCTAATAATATAAGTCAGTTCTTAGGAAAGAACCGTGCATTTAGGAGTTCATTTGCAATATAACTGAAAAATTCATTGCATGGCAGTAAAACAATTTACTGTTAATTACAAGGAGAAGAATTTGCTGTACCATGCTCACAGATTGCCATGAATCATGCAGCACTCCTAGAGATTTATAACAGATGTGTAAGTGGGATGAATTAGCAGGGTTTAATAACAGAGACACAAATCATGCAGACTTCAAGGAGCTTTAATTGATATACTAGAATGTGACGGGCATGAATCACTCAGCCATTCAACAGCACTGTAACATATGGTCAGCTCAATATGCTGCATCTTAAATCGGTTGGTGAGTCGTTGGTTGTCCCATATGGTGGAAGCAATATATTTTTCATGATTTTTTTAAAAATACAGTGTATTACATCTATTTTAAAAGAAATATAATTGCAACATATCCGTGTTGCTAAATTTTCTTTCGATGGCCATTGTGTGTGGATCTTATTCTTTTTCAGAAGAGTCCAAAATGGACTCTAAAGAATGTCCTAAAAAATCAAAATATTGTCAGAAGATATAAGTATTATGGCTTGACTCATTTACTGTTGAAATGGCTGTGATACTGTTGTGAAACAGAGAAAGAGAAAAGAATGTACTAGAAATGTGATGGCAAACTCAGGGTCCTCTGGACTAATAACTGGTAGCAAAAATGAAATTGATGACCCCTAGCGAGGCATGGAATTTTACCTGCAGGGTAAACTCCAACATGGAAAGAAAATATTTTTCTCTAAGTTTTCATCCTCAAATCTGCCAGATTCTTCTGGTTTAATTTATATGCATGCATTTTGAATTCCACTGAACAATAATTAAAAACTTGTATACTTCCTGTTACTGTTACCTCGCTGAACTATTCAGGGTCTAATTGAAGGCTTTGGTGGAAGGGTACACAAATACCTACCTACAGTGTGCTGAGCAGGAGTTTTTCAAACATATGTAAGCCTGCAAAATTTAGCCACAGTGTAAATATGTTATGCCTGGGACAAGAACCTGGCAGAGTATGGAAAAGCTTTAGCAGTTGTATTAGTAAACCTGACAGACTTGAGAAAGGAGTATTGTATCCTTAGAACCATGGCTGCCAGAATTTAGTGTCAACAATTAAAATTTATTTTGATCCTTACCTAGTGTTTATTACTGTTTGTATACACAACAGACCTTACTAATACAGAGATGCACTATTAGATGGAATTACCATCTGTTCAGAGCGAAATGCTGGCATCTGTCTTCAAGCCAAAAACTAAAATGATATTATTTCAAACAAAACAAAATTAACTGCTCTTTACTTACCAACTTCATTTTTGTGTACATGTGTGTGCATAAACACATGGGAAAGGCTTATTTGTAATGACCTGTGCAGCAACATCTATATTTAGATATATGACTTCAACATAAGCTGTATGGACCATCTGTCTTTATTGGTCTTTTTCTGTGCCCTCTGCTGCACAATGGCATGCAGCAATCATGGGCTTTTAAATACTGTTTTAGCTTTATAATATATTAAGTATGTATTATATAGCAAGACATTAAAACTACATAATTAAAATACACAAAAAATGTGACTTTGAATCCGCTAAAATGCAGTACGCTCATTATTTTGACAGATGTGTCTTAACAGAACGTGACTAAAAAAAAATTAAATAGGTAGAATTATAGGCGATTCATCTTTCAGAAAGTAGCTACAGGTACCACAGTGACACCTTTAGGAAAATATATACTGTATCTTTTAGTCTTGAATATTTTTAATTTCAGCACTTAGTACCCTGCTGGGCTAGCACTACAGATTTATTTAGGTCCTGTCTGTTGCCATGCACAGTTGTGTTTTCTGTTTGTTTTTTGTTTGTTTGTTTGCTTGTGTTCTAAAAATACTTATGTAACCTATTGTGTAGTTTTTTGCGGTCTTGATGTGCAAGAATTCTCAAGCTTCAACAAAAATATATTTTAAATACCAACGTTATAGCAAGGATGTTACTTTCTGAAAGGGTAGGCCTCTGTTCCATATATCACAAAATAATAAATTGTGTCATGCCAGTGTTTAATGCATGTACACAGTGCATTAACTGTAACTGTAGTACATTTATTTGTGCTAGAGGAGACTTGAAAATGATTAAAAAATCAATACTTCCCTGTCAGAGAAGCAAGTGTTACGATGCATTTAAGTAGTTAATTGCATAAGCCCCATAAAAGCTTCAGGTTTGGGTATCAGAGATGCCATAATTATGGTCCAAGTAACTGCCGTTTATTAATACTAGACTTTAAAGGAAGATATTGTCATGAGTGTTAGTCAGCTGTATGCATTTTAGAAAGAATGAATTTTAGTGTTTCTGTTTTACCATCAGTAATCTGGAGGGCTCAACCTCTTCATTTCGCATTTAAAATGCTGACGTATGCTAGTTCCCTCAAAGGTGAAGTTTTGATTGTTAAGCCATGTTTTCTATTTAAACTTGTGCATTAATACCACAATTCATTAGTGCTGTGCCCTACTTATGCAGCAAAGCTTATGACCTCACACTGCATTACTTCAGTTTTGACATTGTAAATTTCTACCATCGCGTGAGGTACTAATTAGATTGTGAAGTCATAAATGATGCCTAAGCAGGAATTTACAGCACATAGTGCCATTGGCAGTTTCCCAGTTCCCCCACTCCTTGCTTTCTCCAAGAAGAATATTTATCAAGTTATGGGATGTAGGGGGCAAAGAAAAAGAAATAAAACAGAAAGAAAGAAGGCATGCAGAAAAAATGAAAAATATGTTAATGGTCTCAGAAATGCGCAAGTGTTTTAAAGGATGTTATTAATTCATTCTAAATGAAGCAGTCTCTCCTTCTCTAAAGAACTCACGCTATGTACAGTGCTGTGCTGTGAAGTAATATGTCAGGTTTTGAAGACCCATATTTTAATTCAGGTTTTATTGTTCTTGAAAGGCGTTTATTGCTCTTTACTATGTCATTATGGGAACACGTAATTTTTACAAGTTGTCATTGTATTTCGCTTCCTGGGTACAAATGAAGTTTCTGTTGTTAAATCCTTTTTTTTTTAATCAGGGAAAGAAGACAAAAAAAAAGGCAAGATAAGATGGATGTAGATTCTATACATAGTAGTGTGTTCTTATACTTCTCCAAATGACATCTTCTATTGTTTCAGTGATGGTCCATTTCCTTCCCACCTGTATGACCATCACACCATTATCCAAACAAGTCCTGCTGCCCTCCAGTGGCTTACTGTGCAGTATTTTATAAAAAAATTGAAAACGTTTTGTTCATAACTGAGCTATGGAGTGACCAATGCTGTCAGAATGTTTAAAAGAATATCGAAGTATTGGGTTTATTAGTAGGAGGATCATCCTAATAACAAAACTGTCTTATGCTGATACCTTCATGAAAACAATCTTGTATGGTCTTACTTTACATCAGTATTGGTGGAGAAAAGTTAGAGAGGATCATTTTCTTGAATTCAATAATTACTTCAACACATGCTAATATCTGGTGTGCTTACCATGAGGAAAACAACCTGATGGGCCTTCAGTTTTGTGGACAGGTAGCTGTTCTGCTCCTCTTTGTGAGGAGAAGTCCAGTGGCAAAAAACTCATGTTGTCATGTACTATGCTGAAGTGTAACAAGGGCTAAACAACTCTTCAGATTCTCCTTTGGTTTTTCACTCATATCCAATTGTGAAAGTCATACAGATGCATACTTAACAGTGAGTATGGCATGAGATGCAGATCAAGAAAGGAATACAAATATATTTATTTTGAGGATGTTGATTATCTTAAAGATGGGTGAGGATGTTGATAATCTTAAAGATTATGAAAAAATTCTATTTTAGATCTAATACTAGAGATATTTATCCAAAGCCTGAATAAATAAATGAAGTATTTCTTGTGCAATTGAAACTAAGTTCTTAAAAAGATTAAAAGCTTTTTGGTTTTGTCTCTGTATCTGTATTTTTTCTTAAGATGATCAGAAACTGAAGTAGAATGTTTTGCAAAAATTATGTTGTGTGCAGTAAATGATTTCTCAAGTATTATGGACAATGATACCTAGCTAACTTTTTTTTTATCCACAGCTCCAAGAAAACTTAGTGCCCCTCATGTTGAAGGAATAAACAGCACAATGGTAAAGATAAATTGGAGTGAACCTGAAGAGCTTAATGGGCCTTCTCCCATCTACCAGGTGGAAAGGATGGATTCATCTTTAGCTACTTTGAGTACAGAAGTAATGAAAGGGATCCGTTTCCCAGGAAATGGATATTACAGATTTGCTAGTTCCACACTGCCTAGCAATACTTACTTTACAGGTAAATGACTTTAATTTGCTCACAAAATGTACTAATTGTACTCTGAATTTGTTTTGCTATTTATTATAATGTCCTATATAATTTTAAATTTTAGGTTTTAATTTATTAACATAATGTGACTGTTAGTGATGTATGGGCTATTTTGATTCTCACCTAAAAAGCCTGTGAAAAGCATTATTGGACATGTGGGATTTGTATTCCCTTTCATTTGGACAGAGATGTACTTGACAGTGAATGTTGCTGCATATTTGACTCATTTATGATCTGTAAACATAAGAGGGGTTTTATTTACTCTTCTGTGATAAATGCTTTTTAATTAAATTGCTGTGAATGCTAAGGTGTGTTCTATTAGGTATCTTTCTGAGTATTCCTGAGGTTGCATAAGAACTCAAAAAAGCTGTGTTCCATGTTCAGAAAATTTATGTTGTCATCCTGTTTGCTTTGTCAAGGAAAGAAAAAAGCCTGCCAATATGACAGAATTCTGCTGTTTCTGGGCCTTTGGGTATTATCTCCTCTTGTTTTTTTGATTAGTTACTTACTTTGGAACTACGAGTTTTTCAGATTGAAGCAGACCTATGTCCTGTGTTCTGTGATTCTCATTAATTTGTGGATGTCTTCATTTCTGGAACAAAGCAAAGATATAGACAGTATGTTTTTTTGGAAAAAATGAATTTGGTTGCATATTTGAGATGTTATAGAGGTCTGTAAGTGGAATATTGCATGGACATGCATCAAGTATGAGTGTGTAAAAGAAGATATGCCAGAGCTGAAGGTACGAAGAAAAAAGGTGTATGAAAGGTCTCTGTGTGTGTATATATAAACACAAGTCATGAGACTGACAGCAGCAAGGGGAAATCCAAAAGGAATCCAGGCAGCCAGAAGAGTAAGCATTAACTAGCACCTGATGGTGCAAAGGCTACACCATGCAGTGACACAACTTAACCTGGTACTAAGCCTTGTTTGCTAAGAGAGATAAGGGCTGCAAAAAACATGCAGCATTGTTGGCACACAAAAGAATACTGAAATTTTGCAGAGCACTCAGCTGACATCCCTTGTTTACAGTGTAACCATGGGTAATTCTGGCAAGAATATTTGAGTGCAGATATCTTGGTACCCGAAAGTGCGTGTGCAAATTCAGGTTTTGTTTAAAACAGAAATCAGCTTCTTGTCTCTCTGTGATCACTTGGTGAATGTGACTTAAAAAAGCAAAGTTGAAGATCAGTTCCTTTCTTTTTGTTTTTGCTTTTTTGTTTTATTTTTCTTTGGCTAGGTGCTTACTTGACTGGTAAATAATAATAGCAAGTGATAATGTGTTAGTTAAATATTGACACCGTGTTGACAGGCAAAACCTGTCTCTGTGTGGGAATCTGGAGGAACAGCTGTTGGGCTCCTTTCCTCATCCAAATTGCTTGATGGTTTTCCTGACATCAGTTTGCACCCTTTATCGTATATTTGGCAAAAAAAAAACCTTTCATATGTTTCTTCTGTTGTCAGTTGTGATGATCTAAACACCAAAGAAATTGTGAGCTGCAGTTTTTCTCACTGGAGCTCCAGTCAGCCCCATTTCTGCAGTATAGTTTAATAGTTTAATCAGACAGGTAAAGAATCACTGGATTTCATACTTCTTATCAGAAGTCGCTGAGAGCGTAGGGGAAGAGTGTGTTGCACTAGTGGGATTGTTAACATACCTGTCTGTTGTAGCCAAGCAAGCCCAACACCAGTCTACCCAAGTGACTATTCAGTCTGGAGTTTGTCTATGCTCTGTAAGCTGAGACTGATGCCTTGAACAAAGTTTATTATGATGGCTGAGGTGATTTGATAGAGTTTGAATGGGCAGGTAGGGAGAAGATGTTAAAGATCCCTTCATACTGGCACCTGATGGCTGATAGTGCTGTGTGGATAAATGTAATTTATCATTGCTTTGGGTTGTGTTCATTCTTTTCTACCAGCCGTTAGTCTGAGTATTTGGAGACAACCTAGAACTAAAACACACTAGGCAATTTATCCAGACACCTGCTAGTAATGACTGACAATCAGGTTAAATTAGTCTGTGTTTGGTACCTAAACATGTGTAATTTGGGTTTGGCAACTCAATAAAGTTTCTGAGAAATATAAATCTGGGTTTTTCTGAGTAAATCGTCTGTCCTTCTTCCAAAACATGATGGAGGGAAAATGATAGCAAATCCAGGAGGGTTTAGAAAGACAGACACTTAAGGGAATGAAAAATATTCTTTAACTGCACTCTGTAGTTGTTTTGTTCTTGAGACCCTCTCTTGTTACCCATCTCTGAAGACAAGCAGTTGGCAATTGTGCTCTTTGGATGGAACAGCTTTAGTGTGCGTGCAGCTGTGTATATTTTTGATGCAAAAGTGTGTCAGCTTGTATATGTCAGTCAGCAGACAGATACTTCTCACTGCATCTGGAATCTCCCACATTAATCCAGAAAAAGACTGATTAGTTTATTCTTTGCTAATAAATGCAGTTGTCCTCACTACCACCCTGGCTGCTCTTAAACTCCAAGGTGCAAGTAATAGGAGCAGATGTATTATCTGGGAATTTTTGCAGATTCATCTTTTTTTAAAAAAAAAGTTAGTCAAGAAACACTGGCTACACTAAGTAGTGTCCTTCTGTCTGCAAGAAAGCCTCCAACTACACAGGAAGATGTGCTCTGAGTACACATTAGATGTGAGGAAGTCAGGTAAAGGAAAGCACTGTTTCTGCTGGAACTGTCCACATGCAAATTCTCAGCTCCTCAAACTAAGTGTTTTAGGCATCTGTAATATAATTTCCCAAAATGATACAGAGTTGATTTTTAATAATTACTTTTATCCCTTGAAGTTCTTAGATACAACAGCCTTCATTGTATCTATCAAAATACCACAAGGCAAAGGAACTGTTAGTGTTCTTGTTTTAGCTACGGAATTTATCCATCTCCCATCACTCTCTGAAGACTGGGGGATTCGGTTGTTTCTCTTCATATCTTCCCTATGAGACAGCAGAGTGCTATCATTCTGATTTAACAGATGGAGAGCCGAAGTTCAGATTGCACTTAGTGCAGTACTTTATACTGAAAAGACCCTCTAGAAATGGCTAGAAGGTTTTACAAATTGTTTTGTGTGGTTTGCCGTATGGGTACAGCTTGTGTAATGCAGCTGTCAGTCTGGAGTCAGAATGCTGCACTAACGCTGTTGGGTTTATCTTTCTGGTTCTCTAGTCATCAAGAGATGTACAGTCTATTTTCTCCAGGGTGTAGACAGGCAAGCTTGGAGTTCAAAGAACTGTAAAGAGCTGAGTGAATATCTTTTAAAGTCAAATTATACTTGTATTATCTCTTTAATGATTGACTCTCTAATGGCCTGGTCCAAAAAAAAGCCTAAGGAGGAATGTAACAAGCATGATGTCACACTAATCTGGCTTTCACTACCTTCAAATGGATGAGAATATTTTGCTCTGCAAGAAAGCTAGGGTCTTCATATACTTTGTAGAAGAGGTGTACCAAGGTTTACAGGTGAGATCCTTCAAGATAGTTGAATAGAATCCATGGGAAATAACATGCTGAACTGCTGAAATGTGTGTGTGTGTGTGAATATCAATAACAAGCCAGCATACTTCTGAAAACCTTTTGCTCCTTGGTTGTGGGTCAGGACTCGAGGTGCCTGAATGGCTGGAAAAAAAAATCTGACCTGTGTAAACAAGTCCTGCTTGGGATCAAATTTGGATCTCATTTGAGGCATTACTGTCTGTTTTGGATTTGTAACTTAGAAATAGCTCCCAGGGATTAGGCAGCTTTAACTTTCTGTTTTACAGAGAGTAGGGTATCACATTTTTCTTTGAAAATAGGGCTGCCTGAGAAAGCACATGAGCACCCTATTGGGTATATTGGTGGAAACTGTGCCTTCAGATAAGAGTGTCACTGTTCAAACTTTGTAGCAAATCCTGTTGAAAATCTGTGCAATAGTTTTTTTCTAGAGCAAATCTACTGGATTAAGGTCCTAAGGACAGATAAAGGGAAGCTTAACTTTCAGGGTTTTTAAGCAAATAGATGCCAAACTACTGATTGTTTTAGAAAGGAACTTGTGGGCCCAAAGAGCAACTGTTTGAAAACTGAACCCTGGATATTCTTGGGATTCAATGACATCTGAGCTAGGAGTTTCAGGACCACAATGTAGTTGTCTAAAGTACAGTCATGGATTAAACAAATGACTTACTGGAATCTTTCCTGTTTTCTATAGCCAGGCAGAAAGTCTGTGGCAGGGCTGATGGGGTAGGGCATATTATAGTTAGAAAGGATAGAAATTGCAATCAGTTGGACATGAGTGAATGAGAATGCATGTTGACTCCAGGCTATGGAGTTATATCTGGGCTCCATGAAGAGAAACTCAGTGCATCTGTAGGGCTGTGCATGAACTGCTCAGTGCATAGAGTGACTCAATTCCTAGAAAAGGAAGAAATCGCAGAGTAGCAAGATGGTTCTGTGGAAGGTGACATTGCTCCTGACCTCTCAAAATAAGGCTACTTTTCAAATATAACATTGAACATAAATTGACAATTCTGTGACATTGTAGAGGGTTTTTTAAATAATATACATACTCTTTCTATGCAATGGAGCAAAACCAATCCTTCCAAACATGCTTTAACATTGTATAAAATACAATTTGAGCTTGATGTCAGGAGATATAATTAAACATCCATGTGAGAAAGGAGGCCTTTTCTTATTTAGTGATTAAATACTTCATTTTTTTCAGGTGGATAAAAAAATTCTTTGTAATGTTTTAAAAACAGTTGAATTAGCTGTTACTATTTTAATGTCATTCCTCTTGGATGCTGCTGGTATAAAAAGGAAATTATTCATATAATATTGATCAAAATGAAGAAACTTCTGTGTTTGGCCTTGCTTCGAATCCAAGTTTTCTGAAATAGGATACTACACTTAAAAGGAAGTGGACTGGATTATGTACTCTTTGCTAACCTCTACATGATGTGTATTCAGCTCTGTAATA